CCCCAAAACCCCAAAACCCCAAAACCCCTCAAATGGGGCATTATATTGAACCTATGGCTATCTTCGCCCAAGTTTGGTCCGTTGGCGTTTATATAAAGACCTTGGACGATAGGAATAGTTTTATGTGCTTGCTAGCTTGATCATGTTAGCAATAAAATGCCTTTTAGCTTTTGCATATGACTCATCCCTCTTTCTAAGTCACTAGCTCCTTTGCCTTTCTGATGCATTTCGATCAATTTTAGATGCTTGATTTAGTAGTTTCTGAGCCTAGTGTTCGCAGAGTCAAAAGCAGACTTCACTAGGGTGAGAATAGTTTTGAAGTATCTTCCGCAAAAGCCCCGAGTATGTTAAAGATTATGTCTTATTTTCAAGTTCTTTAAATTGCTGAAAGAACTTAAAATCTTGAGTTTTGGATTCATAATCTTTCTCTGGACTGTTTCCAGTCAATTTAATATTTTGAATCAACCAGACTCTTTTATTCCCCTCATGATGACTTTAGAAAGGAGATTACTACCAGATGCATATTCTAAATGATATCGGCATGAGATAGATAGTTTTTGACTGTAAGATTTCAAGGTGCTGGTCCCTTTGACCAAGAGGTATTGCCACTAGCACTCATGCTATTTCGAGATCAACGGCTGTTTATATCATACTAATATCACCTGGAAATGGGTTTATAAAATTTACTTTCTAAAATTTCTATAACTCACTTATAAATGAGAGCTTTACCTCCTTTTGATGTGAAGGAAGAGCCTAACATCATGCTGCACTCCACATTGTGATCACTATTCTTACTTATATCTTTCATAATTTTTGAGAAGTTTCACCTCATCCTACAAATTAGTCTAAAATACCTTGAACTTGACTCGACCAATGAGTCTCCTCTGATCCTATGAGATCGAGATAGGTTCTCAACATAACTGTTGAAGCTATCCGATAGTGCCTTAAAGGAGGAATTCTTGGATATCTTAGTGTCTTTCCTAGTCAAGCTGCTGTTGACCCTGGCTGTCTTGCCCAAATTTGGCCTAACAAATAACGCAATGAGATACCTAAACATGCTCTTTATTTCTGCTTCAGCCTTGGTCTCCTTCTTCTTGCGCATTCGAAGTATTTGCTTCTTTCTCTTGGCTTCGTTATGGTCAAATCTGCTCATAAGGATCTTGAATTTCTTCTTGCTCATTTTCTTCTTTGACTCTTTTGGCTTTACCTCAACCATGTTCTGCTTATTTGGATCTCCTCACTATGATAACTTAGTAAACTGATTAGATTCATGAAGAGAACTACAACCATAAAAGTATCAGAGAAGGAATTCGCCTGCATGGTTTCTCATCCTCATATGATTATTGTGAGGTTTCTCTCCTTGATTATGAGAAGTAGGAATGAATTCACAAATAAGAATTACTCTTTTCAATTTTCTCTTTCCTTCTCGCTTCTTTTAGGTTCATTCTCTTAAGTGTATCTTCGAAGTTAATTTTCTTGGTCTGTCTGACGGTTTTCTTTTGCTTAGACTGGGAAGTGGATATCTAAAATTGACCTAAAATATTACCTTCAGGTTCAAAAACCGTTCTGTATTTGCAGTTGAGGAAGGTCTGGCACTTCTATATAGATATGAGATAAGCCCTTAAAATGAACCTCAGCCATGACATTACCTTTTACTTCTAGAGCAAGTTTGTTTCTGGTATTTCAAGTGCTCAAACATGCTAGTGTTGTAGTTAACGCTGACATTTTCCTTCCCATCAGATTCGTTCCTACTTGAACAGCTGATGAACGATGCTTTCTTGTTAGTCCCAGTTCTTTGTGAAGGAAGAAGCACATTTTCAAAGTTATTCAGCAAATTCTGAGGGATTATGAAATTTTCCTTTGTCTTATTAGGAGACAGGTCTTTAAAAGGAACTTTCGAATTCTTGCCCATTCTGATTATGCCAGAGGGTTTACCTCTGCTTTGCTTGTTATTCTGATCTGCCGGAATCCTCTTCTGATCCAATTTTCTGTTAGTATCTGGTTTTGGTCACATTTCCTTCAGTATTTCTCTCTTATATCCCAGATTTGGATTTTTGCTAGTCTCCTCTCCTTTCTTAATAAAATCACCCTGATGAGACTCAGTGCGGCTCTGAGTTTGTGACTCAGTGCTCTTGGTTTCTTCATTGAGCTCATTCTTATTTTCAACTATAATATTCAAAGGTTTCTTACTGAGAAGAAGCTCTTTGAAGCTTCTTTCAATACTCAGCTTTGATATCTTCTCTTGAATATTAATGTCTTCTGACTGGGTGCTTTCGTTAGAAGCCTTGACTTTGGCCATGGCTGCTATAGAAATGAGACCGATACATACCATTCAAGGGGGTATTAGATTCGTTGGGCCGGGAAGGATGCCCTTCGGGCTCATCCTTGCTTTCAAATAAATCCAGTGGATTCTGATCAGTGATGTGCGTATTCATAAATTCTTTAGACTTCATGATATTATCACCCCTCATAGTTACAAAAATGGTTCCATCAGGAACCATTTTTGTTTCTCTAGTGAGCAGAATATTTTCATTGGAAAGACCTTTGAGATCTTTACTAGAGTCACCAGTAACGCCTTGTTCCTGGCTAGAGTTCCAGAGAGCCTCTGGCTCTTCTTGAATCTTCTCTAAACAGGGTTAGTACCAGTTGGCGATATGAAAGAGATATTACCTCAAAGTGAAAATTCCATTTCTTCTTGAGTTTTCTAAAATATTTAAAATTTAAATATTATACGTTAATATTGGGGTTTTGGGGTTTTGGGGTTTTGGGGG